AAGTCAGAGTGTGGCGGATGTTTGCTAACAGGTTGCTGGGGTCAGAGGTCCTGGACCAGGTCTGCTGCTATACACAGGCACTCAGGTTTGACCTGCATGATGTCTGGCTGTTTGTGAGGAGCCCAGGTTGGGAACTACAGCAGCAAAGCATTGTGAGGTACCCCAGGTTTAATGGCAGGGGTGACACAGTCCCTCACTGATCTGGACTACACCCTGGAATGCATTACCCTGTATAGCATTATATACCCATGGACATTTTGTAAAAAAAAAACAGTTTTGGAATGTATTAATAGCTATTTTTACAAAACAGTCAAAAGCAACAGCAAAAAAGATTTTTTTTAAATGCCTGGTAGATTAGTTTAGTACAAATAGAAGTATAATGGGAAAACATAAATGAGTGTACCATAAATGCAAGGAATGTTCACATCTTTCGCTGCTCCAGAAACTATTATATTTTGGAAATAAAACTTTCCATTATGCCAGTTCTTGCTCAGTCACATTCTGCTTACAGAGGCAGTTTTCATTGAAGTGCATGATGGCCAAACTTATTCTGTTGGATGGAAAAGTAATATATAAGAGGTATGGAATTCCATGACTCTTTTTAAAATATCCATTTAAATTACCATGAAAAAAAATTTGGTAGACCTGACTTTCATAGATTCAGGAAAGTTCTGCAGAGGCTTTAGTAAATATCTCTACTGAGAAAATACTTCATATCCTCCAGTACTCTGGTATTCTGAGCCACACACAATATCATTTTATAGGCTTGAGTCAACATTAAAAGCACAGTTAAGAAATCTTTTTTGTCCAGATCATTCCCTGTCTAGGAAAATCCTGCACAGAGAACTAGAAATTCCATAAAATTCTTTCAAAAAGATTCTTCTGTATTGTTCCTTTAGAGCAGGGGTAGGCAAACTACAGCCTGCGGGCTGCGTCCAACCTGTAAAACCTTTTAATCTGGCCCTCGAGCTCCATTGCCCTGCTCCGGTGGGAAGTAAAGTCGGGGACTTGCCCCTCTCTGGCGCTCCAGCCGGGGAGCGGAGTCAGGGACTTGCCCTGCTCTGGCACTCCAGCAGGGAGTGGGGTCGGGAGCTTGCCCCACTCTGCCCACCTGGCGCTCCTGCGTGTTCAGGACCTGCATGACAGGCGTGAGGGCACACATGTTACTCCAGCTACACAACCCAAACGCACCTCACGCGCCATCGGAGCCTGCTACTTGTTGGCTTGTTGAGGATAACACAAAGAGTAGTTGGCCAGGGAGTGCTCAGTGGCAGTTTTCACATGGGAGGAGATTTCTGAGAGCAGGGGGCTGGTGAATCTCAATTAGTTCCAGTGACTGGAAGCTGACGCCCGACAAAGTCAGGCTAGAGAGAAAGAGCATGGAAAGGGGGTAAGTTTGGTTTAATTGTTGTAATACATTGTTATGATGGTATATTTATAATAGTAAGTAAGGTTTTATGTTTATTTCCACTGAAACGTATCTTTATTAAATAAAGTTTATTTGAAAATATCTGAATTGTTAATTTTGTGAGCATTCATGACCCACCATACAATTTCCATACCCAGATGCGGCCCTCAGTTAAAAAAGTCCACCCTGCTTTAGAGGGTGGAGGGAGCTTTAATCCTCACAGAGTGGGCAAGAGTTACCATTCAAATTGATCTTGGGGAATCTGCCAGAATTCAAGGTCATCTGTGAAGAACTCCTGTGCCTCCATACCACCTGTGGGGTCCCCATCTCCTCTTGGTTAATCTCCAATAGAACTGCATTGTCAGGGAGTCTCCTGCTAGCTACCGCCTTCCTGGAATCACCCGTGGGTGGTCAAGGAAGTTTATTTAACATAAGTGTGCGCATGCCAAAGTTAATACCAACTCAGACATTATCAACCATGTTGTAGAATCTCTGCTGGGAGCCTGAGTCCCTAGTCTTATTCACTCCCCACAACAGATCTATAACCCCAAAAATGAGCTTCCGGAGGAAAGGCAGGATGAGACTGCAGTCACCACACTCTCTATATGGGGTACCCATGGGGTTTTTATCCCTCTCACCCATGGAAACACATGAAACAATTTAAGCCCATGTAAAGCTAATAATTGTAGTTTCAGAATGTATACATTTCTTATCAAATATACCTGGAGTAAAAAAATCTTAAAATGCCTAAGTCCTATTTTCAAAGGTGAGTTAGGGTATGTCTACACTACGGAATAAGGTCGAATTTATAGAAGTCGGTTTTTTAGAAATCGGTTTTATATATTCGAGTGTGTGTGTCCCCACAGAAAATGCTCTAAGTGCATTAAGTGCATTAACTCGGTGGAGCGCTTCCACAGTACCGAGGCTAGAGTCGACTTCCGGAGCGTTGCGCTGTGGGTAGCTATCCCACAGTTCCCGCAGTCTCCGCTGCCCATTGGAATTCTGGGTTGAGATCCCAATGCCTGATGGGGCTAAAACATTGTTGCGGGTGGTTCTGGGTACATATCATCAGGCCCCCCGTTCCCTCCCTCCCTCCGTGAAAGCAAGGGCAGACAATCGTTTCGCGCCTTTTTTCCTGAGTTACCTGTGCAGACGCCATACCACGGCAAGCATGGAGCCCGCTAAGGTAACCGTCACCCTATGTCTCCTGGGTGCTGGCAGACGCGGTACGGCTTTGCTGCACAGTAGCAGCAACCCATTGCCTTCTGGCAGCAGACGGTGCAATACGATTGGTAGTCGTCCTCGTCGTGTCCAAGGTGCTCCTGGCCACGTCGGCTGGGAGTGCCTGGGCAGACATGGGTGCAGGGACTAAATTTGGAGTGACTTGACCAGGTCATTCTCTTTAGTCCTGCAGTCAGTCCTATTGAACCGTCTTATGGTGAGCGGGCAGGCGATACGGACTGCTAGCAGTCGTACTGTACCATCTTCTGCCAGGCAGGCAAGAGATGAGGATTGCTAGTAGTCGTATTGTACCATCTTCTGCCAGGCAGGCAAGAGATGGGGATGGCTAGCAGTCGTACTGTACCATCTTCTGCCGAGCAGCCATGAGATGTGGATGGCATGCAGTCCTTCTGCACCGTCTGCTGCCAGCCAAAGATGTAAAAGATAGATGGAGTGGGTCAAAACAAGAAATAGACCAGATTTGTTTTGTACTCATTTGCCTCCTCCCCTGTCTAGGGGACTCATTCCTCTAGGTCACACTGCAGTCACTCACAGAGAAGGTGCAGCGAGGTAAATCTAGCCATGTATCAATCAGAGGCCAGGCTAACCTCCTTGTTCCAATAAGAACGATAACTTAGGTGCACCATTTCTTATTGGAACCCTCCGTGAAGTCCTGCCTGAAATACTCCTTGATGTACAGGCACCCCCTTTGTTGATTTTAGCTCCCTGAAGCCAACCCTGTAAGCCGTGTCGTCAGTCGCCCCTCCCTCCGTCAGAGCAACGGCAGACAATCGTTCCGCGCCTTTTTTCTGTGCGGACGCCATACCAAGGCAAGCATGGAGGCCGCTCAGCTCATTTTGGCAATTAGGAGCACATTAAACACCACATGCATTATCCAGCAGTATATGCAGCACCAGAACCTGGCAAAGCGATACCGGGCGAGGAGGCGACGTCAGCGCGGTCACGTGAGTGATCAGGACATGGACACAGATTTCTCTGAAAGCATGGGCCCTGCCAATGTATGCATCATGGTGCTAATGGGGCAGGTTCATGCTGTGGAACGCCAATTCTGGGCTCGGGAAACAAGCACAGACTGGTGGGACCGCATAGTGTTGCAGGTCTGGGAAGATTCCCAGTGGCTGCGAAACTTTCGCACGTGTAAGGGCACTTTCATGGAACTTTGTGACTTGCTTTCCCCTGCCCTGAGGCGCATGAATACCAAGATGAGAGCAGCCCTCACAGTTGAGAAGCGAGTGGCGATAGCCCTGTGGAAGCTTGCAACGCCAGACAGCTACCGGTCAGTTGGGAATCAATTTGGAGTGGGCAAATCTACTGTGGGGGCTGCTGTGATGCAAGTAGCCCACGCAATCAAAGATCTGCTGATATCAAGGGTAGTGACCCTGGGAAATGTGCAGGTCATAGTGGATGGCTTTGCTGCAATGGGATTCCCTAACTGTGGTGGGGCTATAGACGGAACCCATATCCCTATCTTGGCACCGGAGCACCAAGCCGCCGAGTACATAAACCGCAAGGGGTACTTTTCGATAGTGCTGCAAGCTCTGGTGGATCACAAGGGATGTTTCACCAACATCAACGTGGGATGGCCGGGAAAGGTGCATGATGCTCGCATCTTCAGGAACTCTGGTCTGTTTCAAAAGCTGCAGGAAGGGACTTTATTCCCAGACCAGAAAATAACTGTTGGGGATGTTGAAATGCCTATATGTATCCTTGGGGACCCAGCCTACCCCTTAATGCCATGGCTCATGAAGCCGTACACAGGCAGCCTGGACAGTAGTCAGGAGCTGTTCAACTACAGGCTGAGCAAGTGCAGAATGGTGGTAGAATGTGCATTTGGACGTTTAAAGGCACGCTGGCGCAGTTTACTGACTCGCTTAGACCTCAGCGAAACCAATATTCCCACTGTTATTACTGCTTGCTGTGTGCTCCACAATATCTGTGAGAATAAGGGGGAGACGTTTATGGCGGGGTGGGAGGTTGAGGCAAATCGCCTGGCTGCTGGTTACGCGCAGCCAGACACCAGGGCGGTTAGAAGAGCACAGGAGGGCGCGGTACGCATCAGAGAAGCTTTGAAAACCAGTTTCATGACTGGCCAGGCTATGGTGTGAAAGTTCTGTTTGTTTCTCCTTGATGAAACCCCCCGCCCCTTGGTTCACTCTACTTCCCTGTAAGCTAACCACCCGCCCCTCCTCCCTTCAATCACCGCTTGCAGAGGCAATAAAGTAATTGTTGCTTCACATTCATGCATTCTTTATTCATTCATCACACAAATAGGGGGATGACTACCAAGGTAGCCCAGGAGGGGTGGTGGAGGAGGGAAGGAAAATGCCACACAGCACTTTAAGCACAGCACTTTAAAAGTTTACAACTTTAAAATTTATTGAATGACAGCCTTCTTTTTTTTGGGCAATCCTCTGTGGTGGAGTGGCTGGTTGGCCGGAGGCCCCCCCACCGCGTTCTTGGGTGTCTGGGTGTGGAGGCTATGGAACTTGGGGAGGAGGGCGGTTGGTTACAGAGGGGCTGCAGTGGCAGTCTGTGCTCCAGCTGCCTTTGCTGCAGCTCAACCATACACTGGAGCATACTGGTTTGGTCCTGCAGCAGCCTCAGCATTGAATCCTGCCTCCTCTCATCACGCTGCCGCCACATTTGAGCTTCAGCCCTCTCTTCAGCCCGCCACTTACTCTCTTCAGCCCGCCACTTACTCTCTTCAGCCCGCCACCTCTCCTCCCGGTCATTTTGTGCTTTCCTGCACTCTGACATTATTTGCCTCCACGCATTCGTCTGTGCTCTGTCAGTGTGGGAGGACAGCATGAGCTCGGAGAACATTTCATCGTGAGTGCGTTTTTTTTTTTCTTTCTAAGCTTCACTAGCCTCTGGGAAGGAGAAGATCCTGTGATCATTGAAACACATGCAGCTGGTGGAGAAAAAAAAGGGACAGCGGTATTTAAAAAGACACATTTTATAAAACAGTGGCTACATTCTTTCAGGGTAAACCTTGCTGTTAACATTACATACATAGCACATGTGCTTTCGTTACAAGGTCGCATTTTGCCTCCTCCCACCGCGTGACTACCCCCTCAACCTTCCCCCCTCCCTGTGGCTAACAGCGGGGAACATTTCTGTTTAGCCACAGGCAAACAGCCCAGCAGGAATGGGCTCCTCTGAGTGTCCCCTGAAGAAAAGCACTCTATTTAAACCAGGTGACCATGAATTATATCTCACTCTCCTGAGGATAACTCAGAGAGATAAAGAACGGATGTTGTTTGAATGCCAGCAAACATACACTGCAATGCTTTGTTCTACAATGATTCCCGAGTACGTGTTACTGGCCTGGAGTGGTAAAGTGTCCTACCATGAAGGACGCAATAAGGCTGCCCTCCCCAGAAACCTTTTGCAAAGGCTTTAGGACTACATCTAGGAGAACCGCAAATGCCAGGGCAAAGTAATCCTTTCACATGCTTACTTTTAAACCATGTATAGTATTTTAAAAGGTACACTCACCAGAGGTCCCTTCTCCGCCTGCTGGGTCCAGGAGGCAGCCTTGGGTGGGTTCGGGGGGTACTGGCTCCAGGTCTAGGGTGAGAAACAGTTCCTGGCTGTCGGGAAAACCGGTTTCTCCGCTTGCTTGCTGTGAGCTATCTACAACCTCCTCCTCATCATCATCTTCTTCGTCCCCAAAACCTGCTTCCGTATTGCCTCCATCTCCATTGAAGGAGTCAAACAACACGGCTGGGGTAGTGGTGGCTGAACCCCCTAAAATGGCATGCAGCTCATCATAGAAGCGGCATGTTTGGGGCTCTGACCCAGAGCGGCTGTTCGCCTCTCTGGTTTTCTGGTAGGCTTGCCTCAGCTCCTTCAGTTTCAAGCAGCACTGCTTCGGGTCCCTGTTATGGCCTCTGTCCTTCATGCCCTGGGAGATTTTCACAAAGGTTTTGGCATTTCGAAAACTGGAACGGAGTTCTGATAGCACGGATTCCTCTCCCCAAACAGCGATCAGATCCCGTACCTCCCATTCGGTCCATGCTGGAGCTCTTTTGCGATTCTGGGACTCCATCATGGTCACCTGTGCTGATGAGCTCTGCATGGTCACCTGCAGCTTGCCACGCTGGCCAAACAGGAAATGAGATTCAAAAGTTCGCGGTTCTTTTCCTGTCTACCTGGCCAGTGCATCTGAGTTGAGAGTGCTGTCCAGAGCGGTCATAATGGAGCACTCTGGGATAGCTCCCGGAGGCCAATACCATCGAATTGTGTCCACAGTACCCCAAATTCGAGCCGGCAACGTCGATTTAAGCGCTAATCCACTTGTCAGGGGTGGAGTAAGGAAATCGATTTTAAGAGCCCTTTAAGTCGAAATAAAGGGCTTCATTGTGTGGACGGGTGCAGGTTTACATCGATTTAACGCTGCTAAATTCGACCTAAAGTCCTAGTGTAGACCAGGGCTAAGAGCCCTTTAAGTCGAAATAAAGGGCTTCATTGTGTGGACGGGTGCAGGTTTACATCGATTTAACGCTGCTAAATTCGACCTAAAGTCCTAGTGTAGACCAGGGCTTAGGCATTTACATAAAGGGAATTAGGTTTCTAAATGCCACATTAGGTTCCTAAATCCAAAATATGGATCCTCATACCTCTGCAGGTGCCTTAATTCCCAAGGCACTTAAGTTTCTATTGGTAAAGTCCCCAATGGCACCTAAATTTCTTCTGGTGGGTATGAACTGAGCCGCCTCAGTGCTGATGCCCTGTTCACATCTAAGCCTTGACAGGATTCACAAACTAGGTGTTCCCCTGCCTATCTCACCTGTGGCGTCTGATCCAATCATTCCAATCTCGGAGCATGGCTACCAACTGGGCCCCAACAAACACAGCTCCCACCCCCGACTCTATAACTGAATAGTTAGAGCACGCACTGAGGGTATAGGAGACCCAGGTTCAAATCTCCACTCTCCCTGATTTGGAGCAGGGTTTTGAACCTCTTCTCTGCTAGCTGAGTGACCTAACAACCAGGCTGTGGGATATCTTAGGGTGGGTCTCTCTTTGTGTAAAATGTTTATTGATGCAGGAACTGAAACCCAGATTTCCCAGAAGAGTGCACTAACCACTAGACTACAGAATCATTGTCTTTTTCTGGCCCAGTGAATATTTGTTTCATATAAACATAAGAACTCTAGCAGGAGATTCTGAGAGCAGCCCTGCCCAGAAGTTAGTGCACTCAGCAGGGGACCTGAATGCAAATCCCCATTCCATGGCAACTAGAGTAGGGATTTGAACTTAGGTCTCCTATTTGCTGGCTAAGTGCTCTAACTATCAGGCTATTAGGTACAGAGGGACTAAGGCCTTCTTCAGCTGTGTTTTTTTCCCTCCCCGTCAAGAAAGGGCTGGCATGGCTTAGGCATCTAACTGCAGGATATGGTTCACAGCTGTGAATCCAGAGTAGAGGGATGCACCTCCTGTTAGATGCCTAAGTCCCTTTGAGGCTGGGGCTTAGGCCACACCCCTCTCCTCAGCATTTCCTCTGGTTAGCTTATGTGGCTCCCCGCTCCACATGCTGGCCACATGCTGGCTTTTGTGAGCCCTACTCTTAGGCACCTAACTCAAATCATGCATTATACAGAGAGTCTGGTCACCTAATTTAGGATTGTAAATCCCACTAGGTAGCAGGGTGTCTAAAAGTTAGGTGTTGCAATGCTGAGTCCAAACCCCGTTTGTGGATGTAATCCTTAGGAGTTAAGGCCCAGATTTGTAAAGCTATTTAGGTGCCTAACTTCCATTGATTTCCATGGGAGTTAGGTGCCTAAATACCTTTAAAAATCTGGGTCTATGTCTCATTGAAAGTTAATGGGACTTCAGCTCCTAAGAACCTGAGACATTTTTTAATATGGGATTTAGGTGCTTTTGAACATTTTATCCATTGTTTCGTCAGTGGTAAAACTTATTTATTTATTGAGATAGTTTCATATGATACAAATGGCAGTTTTTTGAGGTTCTCAAAAGACAGCAATTATATAATCTTGGACTCTAAATGTGCTCCCATTGACAACAAGAAAGGTTTTGCCATTAATTTAAATGGGAGCCAGTGTGGGCCCTAGAAACAATAAAAGGCAGAATCCTCAATATAAAATAGCAGACAACATTGATCATCCACAACTTCAATTCTTATAATGACAAGGAGTCTTCTGAAAGATCAACTTTTCCTCAAAACTAAAAAGGCTGGTTCCTGTTTTATTAAACCACAGTTTATTCTAGCTATTTAGGGCTTACATCCTATAACAAATTTTTACTTTATACACTTTAAAATAATAAATAAATGCCATATTTGCAGCTTGGATAAGACATCTCATTTTCATAGTAGAGCTAGTGAATTTACTTCTTGTCTCTTACTTTTTTTTCACTTGTACGTAACAATCTATTGTGGTGCTGAGCATTTTAAAATGATTGTCTAGGAAGTCTGAGTGCATCCTTGAAGTCCCTCCAGTTTCAAATAGAATATGATTTTTTTAAAATGTGTTAACCTTAAAACTAAAACATTAAAAGATTTGTCCATACAATGCTATCTTTCACTTGGCAACCATGTTTGGATGCAGGAATGAAAGTATCAAAAATACTACATTTGTTAATTTCTTGCAGTAAAATCAAAAATTGATTTTTTTTCAAAAATTAGCCAGACAAGCTTGTCTTGCAGAATGTTGTTCACTCTCAGCTCTATTGAAGGTTAGCTTCCAACCTGCTAAAAGTCAAGTGTGAAAGGTAGCTGTTTTAATATTCTTTGCACCACATAAAGGAAAAAATGAGGAAATGAATGAACTGTTTCCAGACATTCCTAGATATGATCTATAATGGTCCTTCTGGCTATAAATTTGTTTACTAATTTGCATACCACGGCACTCAAGTAGCTGGTATATATGGGAGACACTAATGTTCATTTCAATTTAAAATGTTTACAATCAGGTTATTTTGTTAGTCTAATATAAATTCTGTATTTGGGGAGGATGTGTTGTTGAAGTGAACTAACTTGCAGAAGACTGCATGAGGATGGTGTACAGGCCAGCATTATGATAGGAAGCAGAGTATGATCCATAGTTGGAAATAACTGAAACAGACCACATTTGACCTGAGGAGGAGCTATGTTGGACTGGACTGGACTGGACTGGACTGGACCTGACCCAACCCGACCCGACCCACTCAAAGGCAGAAAAAGAAATTGGATCAGACTATGCCAGCTGGCTGTGGAGTAACAAAACTGCACTTGGGAAACAGAGGAAGCGACAAAGCCATGAAAGGTCTGTCCACAAGCAACTCCCAAGAAATCCATTGGGACTATCTGTTTCTGAAGGAAGGGAAGAAAGCATTCATGCTGTATAATCCAATCTGATTTTGAGGTTTTACGCTTTATGGGTTCCAGTGCTGTTCTGGCTCCCACTAATACCTGTGACAGTTGTCTTACTGTTGTAGTAAGAGAATGAACAGAATTTCTAGGGAGCTGATAGCTTGAGGAGGCTTTTGGTTTTAGGTTAGGTTGACAGATTGGTTTGTGTTAAGATGCTCTGTATATATATTAACTCTGTATCTAATAAAGATTGCTATTAGGTTACTAGCAATGATTTGTTATTAAGACTAATGGATTACTTGAATATATAATTCAATAGTGAAAGAGACTTTACCAGAAATATAAGATTGTATAGCTGTAATGTTTTTGCATTGCTTCAGAAATGCATGGGCTTTAGGTTTTCTTTAAATGTCTGTTTTAGTATAAGTAATTCAGAATGTATCCATGTAGTCAGGAGTGGCTTCGTGGTAAAGGATTTTGCTCTGAGTAGGGAATGATGAGGCCACCAGTACAGAAAGCCCTTGCCCAAGGGAACAGAGGTAGGCATCGCCTCCTAAGTAAACTTGATTTGAAATGGTGCTGAATATTGATTTAATGTAGTAATGTAGAAAGTTGATTTAATGTTGTAATATTTTGAATTGTCAAGAATCTGTATGATGATATAATAGTCATTTGGAGAAAAGCGAAATTTTCAGAACTCTCATTTGTGTTGCTTCTGATATGAAAACTGCACTAGCTTCCTGTAAGTTATCCATTGACGTTTGCCCATGTATGGTCACTAAGGCACAATATGTTCATTGTAACTCTACATCTCACTATTTAGGAAAAGCTATTTCTACATTTTGTGCTTCTTGATATTAGCTTCTGCAATTCAGAGATATATGTAACTTTTTGAGCACAAATGCCTTTATTTCCAAGAATCTGGAAAAATAATTATATTGTCTACTATAATACGAGTTTCATAGCAAAAGCATAATTTAAACAAATGATTATAATTAACACTACTATTTTTGAGGCACTATAATATCTTTTTCTTACAAATGTAATCTTTCACTTTTGTCTGATGTGACATGGAAACACTTAATATCACAGGATCCTTCATTATATTCACTGTCACTTAAGTCATCTGACGACATCAATTCTGGATCTTTTCTGTCCTCTAGATGTTTGGAGTTGGAGAATGATGTGCTCCAAACTTCATCTTCAGTTTTCATAGTCTATGCCATTGCACTCCCTTCCTCTACTCCTATGTCATATTCTATGTCCGTTGTCAATCATTCCACGTTCTTTATTGAGGCTACAGTGAATGCTTTATGAACACATTATGCATTTTTGTACTTTGCATATCTTAAAGCTCAGTTAGAGTTTGTGGCTCGGTATTCACATATACTGAAAAATCAAAAGTTCACCCAAATAAATGTATCTTTCATTGTGCTCTGAAGCTTGTAAGACTGGTGTTCTGGCAAACTTTTAAGGGAAATTAATTTCAAAGGGGTGAATGTGAAGGTGGGCATCGATTGAGAGAGCCCTACCACTGATGCTAGAGAGTTTTATCCTGTTAGTAACAGCTTCCAAGACCATTTTAACTGGCATGATGATATATAAAGGAAAAGCTGGTTCCTCAAATAGCCATTGCCTATTGGGGGCCTTAAACATTATCACTGGCAAAGAAAATCACATCCAGAAGTGAATTCATTTAAATATTCAAAATATTTGTGGAAAAAAATGTCTACTATTCAACCAGCTCTAATATCAATTCAACTTCAATTCCATATCATTGTCTGAACCAAGATAGAGATCTAGGAAATATGTGTAATCCATGTGCATTTAGACTCGGCCCATCACCAATCTCTTCATAACCTTTCTTAAGAAAGTGAGATTCAAGCCAAGAGTGTGAAGAAGGGTAGAGAGAGAAATTAGAGGGTTTAAGGTGGGAGGTAGAATACTAGACAGATATCATATGTGCTGGTGGGTCACCACACCTCCTGGCTTGAAATAATAATAACAACTCAAATACATGGTTTCTGCCTTTAGCACCCCCAC